ACGATATCTTACATTTGTGTAAGTCTAGATAAATTTCCGATCTCGGGTGGTAAAGGGCCAGTGAAGTTATTCGTGCCAAACGCCCTCCACAAAACGAAACACACAGTTATAATCACATGATCTAAATCGCGACTATAACATGAACGTGAAATATATATCGAGTGATCAATAGAAGTTTTTAGGATAAAATTGATGGTGTAAGAGGAAAAAAAATATCATTTTATTACAAATTTCATATAGTATAATAGTTTGTCTTAAGTTGAATTAAATGTAATTAAAACCAAATTAAGAGAAAAAAAACTCACAATGATCTCAAGTCTGTGAGCAGCCCAAGCTCTCTAGGGACCTCTCCTGATAATGCATTGATGCCAAAACTCCTAATATTATATAAAATAAAATCACAATAAATTAAACCCAAATACGTAAATAAAATAATTTAAAATAAAGTAAAATAAAAATACACGTACAAGTATTGCATGCGAGTGAGATTGGCAATGGATGCTGGAATTGGCCCTGTTAAATAATTTTGACGTAAATCCCTGCACCATGAGATGAATATTAATTAAATTATAGTAATTAATTATATACCACCTATTTTTATTTTTTTTAAAAAAAAATAACAATTTAATTAATTAAGTAAATTCAAACATACAAATCAGTAAGAAAGGTCAAACTCCATAGCTCGTCAGGTAGTTGACCGGCTACATCCATAGCATACACCCTCCTGTAGAGTAACAAAACTTTGACTAGAATATGAAATAATAATAATAATAATAATAATAATAATAATAATAATAATAATAATAATAATAATAATAATAATAATAATAATAATAATAATAATAATAATAACGTACAAAGCTGTGATGTGGCAAGTGGACCCATTATTTTCAGTGCAATCACATTTTATTCCGGGATTTATGTTTGCAATTTGGGTTTGATCGGTAGCAACGCCGCTGCATAATTCGCCGCTAATATTCCACTGATTTGAGGCCGAAAGTCCCCAACGACGAAATATTGAATTTAAAGCCCTTGCTGTTATAATGCAATCAAAAAAAATATATTAGGGCGGATTGACGAGCTGAGCTCAACTCGGCTCGATAAGTCTCCAACATAAAATTTTTATACAATTTTTTATCACCAAGCGTAGGTACGATAATATATATTTTTTTTTTTTCGGTACAAGTAGGTACGATAATATTAATAATAATTGATGTTAACAATCAACGATAACTAACGAGCCTAAATCGGCTCGGCTCGAGTTCGAGCTCGAGACCTTAACGAGTCGAGCTCGAACTCATTTAGAGCTCGAACATAAAATTTTTATATAATTTTTTATCACGATGTTAACAATCAAGGACACCTAACCCTTGTAGTATCATTTTTAAATAAAGTCAAAATGGTGTTTTTCTCCAATTATGGAAATCAAACACGTGTGTTGTGTTGACATTGAACTATATACTGACGTCATGCATAAGAGTAAAATGGTCAAAAGCAAAATCTGGTCAAAAGAAGTGATTAAAAATATTTTAATTTGACGGAATTATGTATATGATCACGGATCTCGTGTTGCAAAATAATATGAACATTTTAAAAAACAATTTATATATTTAATTTGAAAATTTTTGTAAGTTAAAATGACTTACATTATATTCAAAATTAATCTACTAAACTAATATTAAAATTATCGAACAATTTTGACACGACACCAGCTTATTATTCTAATAATAAAGTCATTTCATATATAATTTGTTCCAAACGTACGTCGGGTTAAATATGTGTAGGGCCCTCACTTGCAAACCTAATGCTATAAAAATATCCAAAATTTTTCGAACGAGAGTGATTGCAAATAATTGCATTTAATTCAAAATGTAGGACTATAAAACCATATCTGAGTTTAAAACAAAAATCAAATCATTTTAATATAAATGATGCAAAAATACACCATGTTTTTTTTTTGGTACATGGACCTTCCGGTTTTCGGATCCACATGGGAACTGACTAATCCGGAATCGAGCCGGGTAGGACCACAAGGGCGGCAAAGCTCTCCCATGTTAGCTAAGAAAATATTGACACGTAATTTCTGAACACAAGGAGATTAATTAGGTAAATTTTGAAACGAATATCAGATAGTAAAATACGGGAAATGCTATGGTCTCGTTATGGTATCATCCCATCGGATATTTTAACCGTTATCCTATGATAAAACATATGACGGGCTAATACCGTAACGGGACTATAGCATTTCCTGTAAAATACACCATGTTAACTAAAAGAATCAGTAATGCTCTAATGGACAACAAAGAATTGTGTAACAAGTAATATGAGTTCGCTTCTTTATTCATATAATAATTTAATTAATTTAATATATTATTATTATTATTATAGATGTAAAAGGGGATGAAATATGAGTGTCAAATTTCAAATTTAAATACATATATAATAAAAATAGACATGTGTTATAATTTTAAAAAAAAAAGAAAAAAAAAGTACACAAACACTAACTCAATGTAATACAGACCTCCCATAAAATTGGGCAAAAAAAAAAAGAAGGAAAAAATATATAGAAATGAACAAATATTATGCACCTTCAGATGGATTAGTGGTGGCGCTATTTGATTGATTTTGAGCTCCGACGGCACTTATGAGTTGGCCAAAGGTGAAAGCAAACCACAAAATCATAAACGGCCGCCGCCTCCGCTCGTCTTGACGTCTCTGAGGCGGCGCCGCCAACATCGGAAAATCTGCTCGCCGGGAAACTTGTTAAACAATATAACTGGAGAATTAATATGTGAAGGGTTGAGAGTGTAAAAGGCTTTATTTCTAATTTATATATTCATATGTTAATATATATATCCACACTTTATGTATGGATTAAATATTTGGAGTACACTCAAGCTAAGTTTTCCAATTTTTTTTATGTTTTTTCTTTTGACAAATACCCTGAATCGTGGAAAAATAATAAAAGCAGTGGGAAAACTCAAATGTAGAAATTTCTTGTAAATTCCTCCCTAAAATAGTAAAATAAAGTCAACATATCCTTTTCAAATTGCTATATATAAAAATCGTATATGCTTGGAACAAATTTTAATTTTGAAATCAAGTGCAACATGAAACGTATAATTCCTACGGAGTGCGCTTATCGATGGTATGAACTAAAAAATGCGGAAGCAATAAACCGAAGATTTTAAAACTCTTCAGGGAAGCGTCTCACTTCCCCTCAAAGCTCTTTCATTGATAGATCAAACATACACATAGCTTGGACTTACAACGACTCGAACTCCCTTCAAGCCTAGCCAACACTACACAGATCCTATCAACTAATTCTCCGGCCACGTCCCTTGGACTTTTAAAAACCTACACTTACTCCCTAAGTGTATAAGCTGTAAAATAGTTT